TGGAACAAGAAACTGATTACTATGTGATTAAATATGACCAAGATGTTTTATGGAAAGTCTAACAGACACAATACGAATTGGAACAAGAAACTGATTACTATGTGATTAAATATGACCAAGATGTTTTATGGAAAGTCTAACAGACACAATACGAATTGGAACAAGAAACTGATTACTATGTGATTAAAACAGATCCAATTGAAAATTTTCACATTTCATGTTTTGTCAAACAGCTGAATTCCAAACTATACTATATTGGTCAGATAGGGGAAATTCTACAGTGCTTCCATAAAAGGGAAGGCATTGCAAGTTTTTTATTTTTGCAGTATTCAGTGTCTTTCTTTTTCTTTTCTTTTTTTTTTGGCAAAATCTTCACTGAATTCAGTACATTGAATTCTGTAAACTGAATTGTAGAAGCCAGTATAAAAAAAGAAGAAGACATAACCAACACCTCAAAGTAACAGTCTTTTCTGCTATAACTGTCTTTCTATTTCCTCGATGGAATATAACACAGTAAATGATGGAATTTTGTGGTATAATCAAACTAACGAACACATTGCTCCTAAAAAATTGTTGAGCAGAAAAGGTACAGTTTGTATTGAAAGAAATTTTAATCCTTGCACTACTCTCTAGAAGCTTATCACAATTCAGTTCTTGATTATCCCTCTAGGAAATTCATCTATAGTTCTGTGCTGAAAATCACTGCTTTATTGATTAATACATAAAATAATTTCCTATTTCAAAGCTAAAAATTTTGAAAATTAAGCCACTTCATTTAATAAATAAATAAATGAAACAGTTAGGTGGTTTGGGATGGAGATTAACTGACCAGTTGGCAAAAAACTCAACGATGGCGTGAGTGGCGGGAGTGTCACGAAGAACAGAATCGAAATTCGTGCTATTCAAATCGACAGCGTAATCAACCACCGCTTTGTTTTCGCCGCTTACAGCTCGGAGGATCGAACGGGATCCCGACTGAAACGACGCCGCTTCTTTAGAGCTGATTAGCAAAAGCATGATAGCAAAAAGAATCACGCATGCTTCTGACATGGACATGATAAAATTATTATTGTAAAGCAGGAAGAAGAAGCTCTGGTTGTTTCGATATATATGGAAACCCTTTCAGTGATTTTTCCCTCCTGAGGTTTAGAGAAGGACGAGGAAGGTGGAGATCTGTTTTTCGTTTTTATTTTGTATGCGTTATGTATGTAAGAATTTAGAAAGTGGGCAGCAACAGGGTGGTGAGCGTATTTCGAGAAAGGCGGGTCAATTACCGGCGAAAACCCAAAAGCCAAACCGCTTGCTGGATATGTAAATTACATGTGTAAAATTTGATGGACCTACAAGAGTTGGGAAATGGATGAACAGCGAAGGTTTTTTTTTTTTTTTTTTTTTCAATTCAGCTCCTTTTTTTTTTGTTTCACTTCCGCGTTTCTTTCATATAAACCTTCAACTGTATTATATGTTTACTAATATTATTAAAGAAAATAATATTTCAGGGCTATTATTCTCTCCTTTAAAGAATAAAAAATTATATTATTTATTTGTTATATTATATTTACTTATTATTTTTTTGGTTGATAATTATTTTGTTTAAAATTTTTTATGATTTTTCAATTTTACTTGGTACAATTTAATTTAATTTAACTTTTATATAAAGTTTTTGTCCCTATTTTTTATCATTTGCTTTTCTATCATTCTTTTATTTAACTTTTATATAAAGTTTTTGTCCCTATTTTTTATCATTTGCTTTTCTATCATTCTTTTCTTAGTTATCTTTTTTATTTACCAGCTTTAGTGTTCTTTCATTTTATGCTATTTAAAATAATTTATAAGATTAATTTTTTTTTTATCTGTCAAAATTGTTTTTTATTTTTTTTGTTATTGTTTATTTATTTTAGTAATAAAATTTGAATTATTATTTTTTTTAAATTCATCTTATTTTAATTTTTTTATATATCAGATTTGATCCATGTTATTCGATATACTTGAAAAGAAAAATTAAATTATTATTAAATTATTTTTTAATTTATTTTTCATGTTATAACCTAATAATAAAAAATATTTTTTAATTTATTTTTCACAACACCATTAGATATTAAAAAAATAATTAATTTTTCATGTAAATCACGTTGACAAGAAAACTACTTTACACTAGAAAGACCAATATAAATTAATTTTTTTCATCATTTTTTTCTCCATATTTTCAACAACTATCTAGGTTACCTTTAGATATATGAAGTCATTTTAGTAACCCTGAATAATTTAATTTAAACAATCTAGGTTGATTTTTTTCATTTTATTCTTATTTTTATTTTGTCCGTGTTTGTTTTACAGATTAATAGTGAGGCTGTTTTTAAACTAACTGAGTCAATGCACTAACATGGTTAATTGAGTCATATCAAAAAAAAAAAATTATTACAGAATTTAATTTTAATTTTAAAAATAAAAAGTTAGATTGAAATATTTTTTTTCTATTAATTTTATCCTCAAGTGCTTTTTAATGACTAGTTGAGTTGTTTTTAAACCAGCTAGAATAACTTAATCAATAAAATAATTAATTATATAGTTTAATTTCAATTTTAAATTAAATAAAAAATAAATAAACTTTTTTTAAGATTTACCTACTATGATAATAATGATATTCTAAATATTTTTTATTAATGTAAAAAAAATAATAATTAATCCCTCCAACGACATAGCGGATCCTTTAAACTAGTTCTTGCTGACGCCTGTTTTGTATCTGGTGAGTTGACCTCAAAATTGATAAAACACCTGGCTGGTTTGCCTTTATCAATGATTGCCATAGTTTATACTATCAGAATTAAATTAAAAAGGTCAGATATAACTAATGAAATATTATTTTTCTAAAAAGTCATAAAAACATTAACATCGGGAGATGTCACTGTGAAAATAATGGATTTAATAGCCATAGTAAATAGCAATAACTGGATTAATAGTAAACAATATTGATGCATGGAGGGGAGAGGGGGTTGGTTTGCAAAGGGTCTGATTTTAAGTTCTTGAATTATAAAAAGTTGCAAATTAATCATTTTTTAATGATTTATCCGAGTCCAGTTGCCAATGACCAGAATTTCATGTTTTTTTCCCCGCCAGACATTTAAATTTGGAGAACAAGGGATAGGATGGATATTTGCCACAGATAACTAGACAAAAGTTAGTCCTTTTTATGGATCAAGAAGGTAATTATCAATACAGCTAAAACATGAACTGGGATCCGTTTAACTATTTATATGGATAGCTTATTTTTAAAAATAAAAAAATAATAATAAGAGAGGGGACAGCTCCTTTATGAAATGAAAATAAAAAGAGAGGCTCAAACTCGTCGGCCGCCTCTGGCCCTGGACCTTTCTGTACAGGCACATGGCTTTGTTTGGTGGTCATTTGTTTATTTTTAGTTTTTAATTTAGTTAAGTTTTTATTAAATTTTACTATTTAAGATCTAACTAATTATAAATTGATTTTTATATTTTTTATTAAATAAAAAATAAGTTCAATATAATATTTTTTTCTTTCTTTAAATTTCTTCTCAATTTAAATCTATTCGGTCAATAAATCATGTTAGAATAATTTTTACAGATATTAATTTAAAATTTAGGTTATTTGAACAATCAAGTTAAAAAATTTTAAATTTAAACTCTCATACCTAGTTTAATATTGATATAAATTTTTTTTTGATAATCCATTGTTTTTTATAATATTCCAGATAATTTAGGATCAATACACAGCTAAACACATGAAAAATAAACCAGTAATAATCGAGGGAGCTTGTCGAAAATGATTCTTAACAGGTAATGTTTGTAAAAATTTAATTTTTAATTTTTAATATAATTATAAAAAAATATGTTAAATTACTATTATATTAAAAAAAAATTCGAGAAACGAGATACTTGGCAGTTGTAACGGACAAGTCAAGCCCGTAGCTCCTATTTCGCAAATCTCACAGGGTTGAATTACCAGCTATGTCGTCATTGGTGATGGCCACTTTGCATTTAATGTATTTTTTTAGATTTTCAAATTCTTGCTGGTTTCGTGGTTATAAGACTCGATCAAGGTATTGATCTGGTTGCCTTGATTGATATTATGGGTCACATGAGTTGTCTCTAATTAATCTATTAATATTATTTTTAAAATAATCGAGTTTTTCATTGACCCCGCTAAGATCAGACTCTAAATTATTAGATTTATTTTTTGAATAATTGACAATAAGTTGTCCATCTTTTATAAAATAAGAAATAAATAAAAGCCTATGTATGTGATCCTTCTCCCAGTGCCATTTGTTTTTTTCAGCTCTCTTATTCACCTGTTAGTTTTTATTAAATTTTATTATTTAGTATTGAATTGATTCTAGATCTATCACATAATAAAATAAAAAGTTGAAGATTTAGGACACATGTGATTTTTTTTTAAATCTATTTTTTTATGCTTTTAAAAAGAAAATATATTGAACTTGATTTAAGCTACGTAGAGCACATGGATGCGAGTCAATAAATTAATATTTTAATAATACTAAATTATTCATTGATAATACTTGATGAATTGGAAGTCGAAGAGTTTGATGCAAATTTGAGTTCTACAATTGAAATTCTTCTGACCTCGTGAAAGCTTTTATGAAAAATGGGTCACGTGCCTGACAAAAGAACACACAACATTATTATAAAAAAAGCTATTTAATTAAACCAGCAAAGAATAATCATTAAAAAAAAACAATAATGATTATACCATTTATCTTCTTTTTTTTTCCTTGTTTTGAAAATTACTCCCACATAAAAAATCGAAAAATGATCTCATATGATCGAAACGTTTTCGTCGAAGAAACCCAAGGCCATAGCTAACCAACCGGACTTTCTCAGATCGTTCTTGGAGGGCTATTGGGTCAGAGTCTAATCCAGCCCAACAATGTCGAGTCAACGCACGAACCTTATCTAAAAATAAAGGCCGAACCAGCAACCAATTACAATCGAATATTCGATAGAATTCCGGGTTCGTACCTCATCGATTCTCCGACAGAAAACCGCTTAAATTCTAGCAAAATATCACGGTAAATTGTTTCAGATCTCGACTTCAATTCAGGTGCACTAATCAATCATCTCCCTTTGTTTATTTCTCAATTAGCACCGAATTGAGTTGTTTGTGACCAATTTCTATCTCCTTCAATCTAACTGATCTGTCTCCATGCTGTGCTTGTTGTTTTTGTTTAATCTTTTTCCAGAAACATTCAGCATGAAGTTCTTAGAATATACGCCGCTGGAACGGTAAAAATCTGTTCTAGTTTTGTTTGTTTCCTCCCCTTAGTTTCCTTTTCATAATCTGTCATTTTGAATTTGATTTTGTGCCTTTTTTCCTGGGTCCAGAATGAATGAATTCTTAAGTCATTTAAATCTCGGAGAACGAACAATTAAGGGATATCTTGAACCTTACTCTTGTAAGTCCGAAATTGAAATCTGTGACTTACTGGAATTTGATTTTGAAATCTGTTTTTTTTTTCAAATATATATACATGCGTGTTGTGTTTTCTCAAGGTAAACACACTGGAACGGACAAAAAGCTCTCACTCAGTTTGGAGAATGAGGTGATTCTGGAATATTTAATTTAATAAAGCATTGCATGCTTCCTTTGTTTTTTATTTTTTCTTATCTCTTGGTCGAGTTGTCTAATTATATTTCCCCTGAGATTGTTATGCTATCCCTTAGAAGGTGAAAAATTGCAAAATATTATTTGCGATGGTGGAGTTTTGGTACCTTCGATCTAGATTCCAGTTCTCTCTTTTTGGGTGGTGGTGGTTTCCATAACCGCTTCCACTTTAGATGCTGTAATTATATTTCCCCTAAGATTATTATGCAGTCCCGTAGAAGGTGCAAAATTGCAAAATATTATTTTTGATGGTGGAGTTTTGGTACCTTAGATCTAAATTTTAGTTCTTTCTTTTTGGGTGGTGGTGGTTTCCATAACTGCTTCCACTTTAGATGCTTGATTATCTTGGGAAGTCTTCAGATACAGACTCATCGTCACCAGCTGAATTTTTATTGAGCAGATCCAGGTGGTGAATCTTATATCTTATCGAGGTAGCTTTGAAAATACTGGTCAGTCTCTTATGTTTGTTTGACTGGTTTTTCTTTATGCTCATTCCAGCCGAAAGACGTTGATTTACCTGGTTCTTACGCTATATCGCATGTATCCGGATTATGATTTCAGGTAACACTGTACCTTTCATTGTATCTCATTGTTTATGTGTTTGTATTTTTCACAGATGGTCAAAGGGGGATTATGGGTGATGCTACTGTCAGCTTTTCCTGTGACTTGGCAACCCACTATACAATCCTTCTTTAACTACACTGGGAGTGTTGTCGAAAGGTTTGTTTATACAATGTATTTATTTGTCAAAGGAGGATTATGGGTAATGCTACTGTCAGCTTTTCGGGCGACATGGCAACCCACTATATAATCCTTTCTCAACTACATTGGGAGTGTTGTCAGAAGGTTTGACAGACAGTTCACATACTGTTGCTCTAGTAGGAGCTGAGAGTTCAAGTCTCTCCATTTCCCAAATCTGATGCTAATCATTTGTATGGTTGCCCTGGTTTCTGTTTAATATCAGTTTTGTTTCATAGCCAGATTCTACCTGGACACATTAGTATTATTCTTTCTGGTTTCCTTAATTTACGATATTCCCCTCCATTGCGGTTTTCAGTGCTGTGAATGCCCACCAGTTCTTCACAGAGGAAAGCTGGGATTCTTTTAAGCAGATTTTTGATAGCTACATGTTTGAAGCATCAAGGGTACCAGCTAACTGCTTCAGATTCTTGGATGGCAATTGTGATATTATGAGTAGCTTTATCGTGCTAAATATTCTGAGCCTTATTTCCTTGATTCAATGATCTGTGCAGGCATGGATTGAGGAAAATGAGGGCAGCTCCTTGCTGGAAACATTATACAAGGCTCTAGATGAGGTGAGCTTACTCAAAAAACCAAAGGCATGTTGTACCAAGAGGCAATGTTGTGATAATATTGTGGTGCAGGTTGTAAAACTATCAGAGTGTGAAATCTACAGTTACGATCCTGATTCTGATGCAGACCCATCATTAGAGAAAGGAGCCATGTAAGTTTCTGTCACCTTCTAGCCTTCAAATAAAAATTAGTTCTGCTTAAAGGAAGAGTTTTCACATGGATTCTTTTTTTTTTTCCAACAGTTGGTCTTTCAATTTCTTTTTCTACAACAGAAAACTAAAGAGGGTTGTGAGCTTCCGTTTCTGCTGTTTTAGGTGGGTTGATATGTTTTGCTTTATTTTATGTTGTCTTTTTAAGCTTTTGGACATCAAAGTTAATGGATTCTTTTTTTTTTTATTGGTTTTGCTATTTCTGTTTGTGGCAGTAACTTGGTTGCTGAAGGATTTCTCATGGATGACTCAAGTTATGAGGAGGATGGAGAAATATTTGATGACATGGACATGTAAGCGCAGATAGGTATGGACTGTCTGTTTGATGTTTATATGTGAAGATCCTTGGCATCCGTCTGTAGTTGTGTAAAAAACAGTGCCATAGACTCATGGCACTTGAGTGGGTAGGATTTGTGTTCCAACTTGTGCATGCATATAGTTGCTTCTCTCTGTACTTGAGAAAATGCTACCTGTAAAATAAATGTCACTGAAATCTAATGCTAGGCATGTGAGTAAAACCTTGCTGGAGTATATTCAATTCCTTGTCATATTCCAAGGACTTAGGTAAATATCTTCTACTGAGTATTGGATGGGTGTCCTGGATGTGTATTTTTTTCTTTAGAAAATGAAATTATGCGTGGAGAAATGAACATTTCAGACACCAAGAGTGAGAAACAGGGAAAAAAAATGTGACAGCCATCTACAACTTCATAGCTGTTTGCAATGGGAATTTTGAAGCCTCCGTCAAATATGCCGTGGCGTTGTTTGCAACCTGAGCTTCCACTTTCCAGGGATGTGCGTTCTATGAAAGTAGACTAGCTTTGAGCGTAAATGGAAGTCACACAATTTATTTTGTCCATCCATCCCGGGAAGGTGGAGATGGTGTCATCATTTGATTTCACTTTTTACAAAACTATTGGCCTCTTTATGAAGTGGAGGATCACTTCTTACAAAGCTAACGTCGTTCCTTCTTCTGTCTTGGCTACTAAGTGGAGTATCAGTGCTTACAGGTATCTTGCTCTGATTGATCGTTCGATCAATCTTGTCTTCGCAATGCACTTTACTTTTTTTCGGCCTAACTAAAAGTGCATAGGGATGTACACTAGTTCGGCAGTGATTATGAAAAGGAACAGCATATATATATATATATAAAAAAAAAAATTTACCTTCAACCTTTTCCATCATCAAAATAACAAGTGTACTGCCATCGCTTTTCTTTTCTTTCTTTTGACAAAAACCCCCGTTGCTTTGGTCCCCATGCATTCCAACCAAGCATAAATACATGATTGTACATCATCTCATGGTATTTTTATAGCAACTCTATCGTCCGGTAAGAATACCATGTTTTGTTATACGGGACTACTTTTACCAAGAAATTAGGTTTTGCAATTGATGGTATTTTCTGTACTAATAGGAAACACAACTGAATTTACTTATTGTTAGGGTCTTGTCTTTCTCGAGATTAAATCATATGAATAGGTCGAGAAGAGCGTTAAGCCTGGCATCACAGCCAAGTGAAAAGAAAAGGGCACGAGACGTATAAGGTCTGCGAACCTTAATTTTCAATATTTTTGATGTTGGGTTGGTGAGATCATATCTAGGATTTGCAACCAAGCGAATGATATATGTTTCCAGGCACCCGAATAAAGAAAAGTTGTGGCAATCACCCCTACAGCTAATATGCCTTGAAATGCAAAGCTTTCACGTGTGTGAACTATTTTTAGAAATCATTAGCAATTAGATTTTGATCTGAGTTTGCACTGAGTTCATGTAAATAAAATCCATCAGATTGTAAATACATTTTCTATTTCGAAGTAGTATTTTCCCCGTATTTATTTTATTTTCATTTTTGTATCCATGCCTGCCACTATAGCTGGATCTGTTTAACACAGCAAAAGCTAATGAATGTATCACAACATCTCCTTAAACAGTATTTATCTAAATGCCACTTTATTTTTTAAACCCAGTTGAGCAAATATTAAAAATCCAATATTTTAATAAATATTAATGAATTAAATAAATGCTACATATTTTAATTTTATCAGGTGCTCAGAACAATTGTATCACAAAAAATGAAAGTACAGACTGATCGGTAATATTGAATAATTTTAACAGGCACTCGAAGGATAGCTGTTAGCAGCTTAGCTCAAATGTGCAGAGAATCCATACAACCATGAGTAAGCAAAATCTGTCATAATTCCTTGAAGTGCATGATTGAATATAATCTTATAAATAATTAATATAAGAACTTGAATGTTTATCGTAAAACGTGACAGGCAGACGTGGCGGGGATTCTTGTCAAGGTGCTACGTGGTGGGAAATTAGAATTCGAACATAAAAATATTAAGGCAGATTCATAAACGTGACACTTGTTCAAAACAGGCCCCACCGGGTCTTCTTGCACTGGCCTCTTTTCTAGCTGTTTGATTTTTAGCACCATGATCGGATCTTCAAATCATCGCACCTAACCACTTTGTTTATGATCATGATTTCTAGTAATTATATATAACAACCTTATTCACTGTGCTCCTTCTTTAATGCCGCTCTTTTCAAGTGTATTTACACCGTGTCTTTCTCTTTTACATTCTTTTTCCTAGTTTATATATATATATATATATTATAGACACACACATACACACAAGCAAGGATTTCATAAATTGCTTTCGATACATGCAACAACTACTTGAAAATTGCTGAGTTATGGCTAAGCACGTAATGGTTAAATTAACTTGTGGGTTTCAAAATTTATTTTCCTTCAAAGTACTGAATATACTAGCATAAATTTATCATCTTTTTTTTAATGAATATACTCGCAGAAAAAATGCAGATAATCTTATTTCTTATAGTTAGCAATAAAATCAATAGAATAATTATGATGTGTTAGAGATAGTGGTGCAATGAGCTTTTCAAAATATATTTTTTTAATTTTTTATATCAATATATTTAAACCATAAAAAAAAACTTTAAAAAAATTAATTTAATATTTTTTAAAATAAAAAATACATTTAAAAAAAAAAAGCAAAAACACTCCCTTGAAAAGAAATGGTGCATCTCCCACCCCCTGGTTGACATACGTAATTACTGAAGGAGTTTAAAATTAATGAAAGCAATATGATATACAGGTGGCATAGCATGTATTTTCTATATCATTTTAATCGTAATCTCCAGTGGTGAATTCATTGGCATCGAAATTAGTTGAAAAGATGAGATATTATGCTTTAACAAACCAGTGGAACTTCGGGACTTGTATGAGTATTGTTCATCGATCCTGATCCCTGAAGAATTATAATCTAAGAAAAAGAAGAAGAAGATAAACTAAGAAAAGGTCATTTACCAAAGGGCTTCTCTATTATTGCTGGAGTTGCGTGCCCTCCCTATTCTCTTGGTTCATGCTAAGCATAATTTGGCAGTCCCTTTATTTATCATGGATTATTTAAAGAGAATATTTCCACTTCACAAGCCTCCTTTATTTATCATGGATTATTTCAAGAGAATATTTCCACTTCACAAGCCTGCTTGCCTTCAAATTTGAAACTAGCTAGCAATTAAAAAAATAAAATGAAACTACGATAGTTGAGTGGCTTCTTTAGTGACGGGAGACCTAAACCTGTGGAACTAGCTATTAATTTAAAGGCCAAATTGACGGAGACGAAGTGTGTTTCGAACTGAATTATTCAAAGGATATATGCGGGGTAAGAGATATAGTTAATGGTCCTTGATAAGTTTAACACCATCTCTCTTCTCGTGAAAAAAAAAGAAAGTAGGAAGGTACTATATTACATTAACATCATATCTCCAAATAAACAAATTATATAAATATTTCATAAATATTCGTTAATCATTAAGTTAATTTTCTTCAAGTTTGATCCATAGCTTGGTCTGCTCATTTCAATTATATAAAATTCCAACCATCTAGATGGTGGTCAAGTGGTAAAGACTTGGGACTAAGAGGTTTGCTCACTCTGTGGTCTCAGATTCGAATCCTTGGTTGCTCATATGATGGCCACGAGTTTGATCCATAGCTTGGTCTGCCCATTTCAATTATATAAAATTCCTCCTGTATTAATTATAATTTGTTCACTAACATTTTGTGTTTTTAATAAATAAACACAAAATGTAGATGAATACGAACAGTATCTAGTTTGATCAAAGTTTAGAAGGATTTCTAATTGGTTTAAGCAAGAAATAAAGGTTTGGACTTTAGGATTAAGATGATCGTGCCTTACACTTCAATAAAAAAGACTGATCATGTGATTAACACATAAACCAATCAAGGCCCAGGTGATGATTTTCTTTGTTGATCATGCACGCTAATCAACTAATAACATGTATCTGGATACAATTTGCATCTTATGTCGCGAAGATTGTTTGTTTAAATGATATAGTAATTGGATAGCGATTAACTATTAGTTTTTTTAAAAAAAATTCAATTTTACAAATATAGGGTTTTATTCAACGAAATAATAACACAAAATCCATTTGACCAATTGTTTTTATAATTGAAAGAAAAAGAGCAAAACGATAAGATAAGCCCTAACATTACTTATTTAATTGCAAATCATTTTCCTGAAATAAAAGCGATAGCTCTATTATAGTTGAAAATCTATATACGAGAAACTCCACCGATAAATTAATTGGGCAAAAGAGCACAGGTGTCCGCATCTCTGCAAGTTGAAGCTACATGATTCCCTTACCAGCCGTAAATTCATCAGAGCTCCACATCTTCATATACCAATAGTTTCGAGGAGGAAGTACTTCACCTTGACTACATGGCTTCCTCTCGCCCCCCTACCAGTACTTGCTCGAGTCCTCCCTTTCGCAGGCACAAGCAACTGATCACTTTCAAGGATCCCCAAGTTAGATGCCAAAGCTTTCGAGAAGATGGTATGTATTTACCTCCTTTTGTCCTTCTAAATTGGGATTAGTTTAGACAAAATGAATAACTATCCTCCTAATTAAGAGACCTCTCCCATATCTGTGTGTTATACACACACACACACAAGAATGACTATTGCCTCCTTTCTTATCAGTGATGCTAAGTACTTTAGCTTTACCAAAGAATTTATATTGGGTGCTAGCTTTTGTATGAAATCCTCATGCAGTTTTGAAACCGTGGTTGGCAGGAACATCTGCAAATATCGTGGATGCAAATCTGGGTATTCTGAGAGGCAGAATAGCAGAAGTAAAGATGAAGGAGAAGTTGGACGCATGGTGCAGACTGAAAAATGGCTGGAATTATCAGTCTGGTTATGATCACAAATACAAGAGAGATGCTATGTTATCCGAGTCTTTAGAAATTATGGGGTTTGCCAGCGGTGCACTTGGGTTCGTCTTTCTTTCCGGCTCTCTTTGCATCTGGCTTGTTTCTCTCCTAGTTCATTTGACTCCATGAAAGGGAGTAAAGAAATCTTGTAAGTATATTTTTATCTACATATATATTGTGGATGCAGCTCTTGCTTAGATCTGTTCAGCTCCATAAGGCAAGACTTCGCTCCACCGAATGTATCTTTTTTCTATCCTTAGGAGGACAAGAAAGGGTGGGAAAGGGAAACAAATTAAAGAAAAAGCACCAGATATTTATTATTAGTGATATACGACGCAAGTTCATAAAAAGAATATAATATGTGACGCAAGAGATGCCCCATCTTTGAATGTATAACAATGTTCTGCTCTTCTAAAATTAGGGCTTAATTTTACACAGAAGTGCAGCAGACGAACACTTGGAGGCACCTCTTCTATTCATAACAAGGGAAAAGAACATTTATCTGGTAGGAAGTGTAGAAATGTAACTGGCCGTAACTATCAACTGACACACATCTCACGTTAGGAGGCAGTCATAATATTCAATCAATGACACCAAGCCACTAAGAGTGTTCATCCCAGCGCGGGAAATGAGAAAGATGTTGTCTTTATCCAGAGAATTTCGACAGATAGTATATTTAGCTCTTACAAAGCCAGAATCTGATTCTACTCGACACATAAAGTTGAAAGGAGGGGATACATAAGGGGTGTTTGATGTGAATTGTTCTTCACATCATTATACTTATAAATAGGTCTTTAAGGGATTCGTTGTTTTTATATTTTTAAATTTTTTTGATTTTTTTGTTTTAAATTAATTTTTTTAATATTTTTAGATTAATTTGATATGTTAATGTTAAAATTAATTTCTTTTTAAAAATATATATATATATATATTATTTTAATATATTTTTAAATAAAAAATATTTTAAACAATAACTACAGTTACATTTAAAAAAGTACTATGATTAATTTATTTTGCAAAGAGAGAAAAATGCAAATGCTTTAAAGTTGTTCAATAATCTTCTAAGCACTCCAAATTCCTAAAAGTAACTAACTTCAAATCGATTCTGCAATAAAATCTTCAAATATCCAAATCTTTATAGATAAGTCAAATCAAACCAATTAACTTCATATCCATGCAAAGTAAATCTTTAAATCTCCATAAATCAAGCCATGTCTCCTCCAGTGGAAGACCGCTTCTTTCTCTTCAGACGATTTACAAATCAGATCCAGTCAAGTCAAGCACCAAGCCTATGGAAGACCGCTTCTTTCTCTTCAAATCCAAATTCTATATCAAATCACTCCAAAGTCGTTCTTACCGATAATCAGAGGACCTAAACCAGATTATTGCAACATGGTACTGATCATTTATGAAGTCATTTGGAGCATTTTGAGATGTCCTCTCATGCAATTTCTACTCTTCAAAGTTTCTGTTGTCTTTGCCAATGAAAATCCAGGGATATAAAATATAGTGTATACATTAATACTGGCTTCACTTAATTAATTAGGCCAAGCTCTCCTTTTACCCTCCAATTCCACGTCTCTCTCCCCTCTATCTCTCCCTTAATTCCCTAAATCCCTTCCCTCGAGGCATCAAGTTACCGACTCTTTTAGCCAATTATTGATCACCCGTTTACCGGACGAGCTTAAGATAGATCAAAGTCTTGCTGAAAATGATGAAGGGTCTTGGGTGATCCAGAGGAGTGACAGGTTCTTTTTATCTTGCTTTTGAGTTCTGGGTTCAAATCGAAGGGCTGGTGGTCGCCTGGGTGTTCCGGCAAAAGTTATAAGTGGTTATTTACTGATTTTTTTTTTTGATTTACTGATTTGATAAGGCTAGTTGCTGCTCGAGTCGAGAGGATGCGCCATGTAAATTCAAGGATAGGTTTGATATCAATATTTGCTCGCTCCTATTGACGAAGCGATGAAAGATTATGATGGGAATGTAACAGACTACTTTGATCTACGTTATTTATATCCAGTCACTCGTAATAATGATATTAACAACCACATAATAAAATTGATGTAGGTTTTTATTATTATTATTATTTGTATTTTTATTTCCATTTCTTTAAATTACATAAAACATATAAATTTAATGTGACACTGAATTAATAAATGAAGTAACGGTTCGTGGGTACTCCTAAAGTATTAGAGACATTTCTAAAAAGATAGGTAGACTATCTCACACCCTTTGACATGAAATAGCTATTTTATACCAGCTTTGCCGTGAGTCCAATATTAAAAATGGATATAAATATAAATATAAAATTAATTAGATAAAATAAAAGAGAAAAAACAACTAGTAAGATTATCTTTATTAGAAATTTTATTTAAAATTAAATATTTTTTATTTTAAAAAAAAAATAATTATATAAAACATAGATGAATTTAAAAAATATTAAAAATTAAATACACACAAAATACTTTTAAAAACCACTATTTAAAAAATACTAAATACAAAAATAAAATTCAAGAGAGAATGAATACTAATTTAAATATAAATTGTAAAATTATTTAGAAATATACTTGTAAAAAAGCATGATTCTTTTTTTTTTAAATCTAAAATAACAAAAAAAAATAAAAACAAAAGGAAATCTAAAATAACAAAAATAAATAAAAACAAAAGGTCAAACACCACTAAATCTAGTACATTTTTTAAAATGTAACTGAGGTTTGTCCCAATGTTTTTTTGAAAAACAAATAAATTAGTCAATGAATCACCTAAATTAGACAAAGGTTGAATAAACAAATCTGAATATTTTTTTATTTTAAAATTTATTTTCAATCCAAAATTTTAAGAAAATACCCTGGAAATCTTGATAAATTTGGAAATCTTGATAAAGCTATTAATAACTTCAAAAAAACCCAAAAAAACATCTCACAACTTGAAATCAAAACTCTTCCAGAGTTCAGATATTTTTTTAGGCACTCTCATGAAAAAAAAAACTTATGAATTGAATTTCTCTCATTAAATAAAATTATTTGACACAAAAATCGATTAAATTATCTTTAAATGCAAAAATCCTATAATAGTTGTCCAAAGGCTTATTGGTATTTTCCTGTTGTTTTTTTTTTTGTTTTTTGTTTTTGTTATTATCTAGTTAGGTAAGGGTCGATTTATTCTTTTAATAAATAAATAAAAGTTACTAGCGTGCATTGAACTCACCAACTATAAAGAGGATACTACTCCCTCCAAGCATCATGCACAGACTCTGACGATAATTAAACATCATCTTTCATAACAGCGTTCAAATAAAGAAGCAAAGTTCGTGCTAGTAGATAGGTGCATGTTGATGGCAAACCAATGGTGTGTCTCTAATCGATTTTGTTTGTTTTCCTCCTTGTCTTCTCACTCTTCTTCTTGGAAAACACAAAAGTATTATTTCATTTGTTTTTTTATCCAATTTTGTCATAATTGTTTATTGCTATTTTTTTTAATTTCACCCCTCATCACCTAGTTAATTTAGTTTTTATATCAAATTTCATCTTTATTATTTTAATTACTATTTATTTCTTTGTTACTCTTTTTCTGGTTGAGTTTTATGTCAAATGTGATTTTTATTTTTTGATATAGTTATTTGTTTTGTTCTATATCTTTTTTTTTCTAATTTAATCCCTCAGTGTTTTATGATTGAGAATTTTACTTTCTTATTTTTTAGGGTTTATTTTATATGAGATCAATCCATGAATTATAATCAAGGTTACAAGTTTTGAATGTTAACATGATTTGATTTCAATTTATTTTTAAGTTTTTTTTTAAGATTTGACCTTTTCAAATCTTATATTTCAAAGCATGATCTATTGGGAATTGTTCTTTGCATTTTTTTATGAAGTTTGTCGCATATGTGCGGCGTCGTTGCGATCTTCTGCCCTTCAGAAAAAAAAATATGTATTTCTAAAAAATATGAAAAGACAAGAAATTCTTGTCTCTCATCAGTGAAAAATTAAAATGGAAGTCACCACCGAATATTTTAGTCACTAGGAACCCTAACTTGTCTTAGATCGGGTACAGAGACTGGTTGCATAAAGGAAAGGTATTAGCACCCCAAATATACCCTACCTAAGGTAGACTGAATTGTTTTGTCTGATAAAATCTAAAGTTTGGTTATAGTGTCTAAAATCTATCAGTCTGTGTACGATTTAAGAAAAGTTCTTTTTTGCAAGGAGATCCTTATCTTAGCAGGTAAAAACCTAACTGTTCTATTGTTAAAAAAAATTTATCTTAACAGGTAAAAACCTAACCGTTCTATTGTTAAAAAAAAAAAATATTTGGAATATATATTGCATATAATGTAATACCCGAGATACTAACAGTCAAATAAAATAAAATTTTTGTTCTTTTTAAAATTTTAGTTAATGTTCTCTTCACTTTAATAAACTGGTTATTAAAGTCAAAATACATGTTAAAACATTGTTTCTTGAAGTATGAAAACACAATATAATTTTTTACCTTTGAGACACTTGGTTGTATGCATAAAAATATATTTTTTCAATTTTTTTGTATTTTTAGAAGTTTTGATGAAAATCATGTATTTTTAATACTGGATTTGTATTTTTGGTATAAAATACAAACCAATATTAATCAAAAAAGGCATAAATAAAAAGTGGATAAAATAAAAATAATAAAAATATTTTTTTTGAAATGGGTCGGACCTGACCCAAATCAGCGGGCTGGGCCGGACCCGACCCAAAACTAAATGGGCTGGTAACCAGCCCTCCATTTGCTGCATAATGTGAATTAATTCATGTTTTGCATGCAAATGCAGACAGCAACTGAGCAAAGGAGAAAAAGATGGGGTAGCAAGAGGTTACCTGTGGTGGCATCGAGGCGATGCTGCTGGCGATAGAAGCGTTGTTGTCGCGGTGGCAGTGTTGATGGCCGGCAGTGCTTCTCCTCTTCCTTCCTCTATTTTTTTGTTCTCTTCCCTGCCTTTTTTTTCAGCCTTACCCCTATGTTTTCTCTTCTTGCTTTTTTCTTCTCTCTGCCCTCTCTCCTTTGTTCTTTGTCTCTCTCTCGGTCTGTCATTCTATTCCTATCTGTTTGCCCCCTGTTTTTAGAGGCAAAAACAAGGAAGGGACATGGCTGGGGCCGCCATTATACTGCTGCCCCTCCACCGCTCATCCAACACGTGGAAAGTGATCGGTATCTTTTAAAAGGGAGGCAGTGTCTTTTTGAAAAAGGAAAGTCGGTGCAAACAAAGGAAGAAAAATATTTTTCTTCCCCTGCCTCACATGTCTAGGGGAAGAAAAAAACCACAATACCGTCAAAACAACACCGTTTTAGATTTTTTTTTTAATGAACAGTGTATGAAACAGCGTTGTTCTGGTCAAAACATGCCATTTCATTTAAAGAAAAAAGGCAGCAAAACGTGTCAGAGTTCGCATTGGTCCTTAATTTGTAATTTGTTCAATCAAGTTCTAAATGACAATTTTAATTTAAAAATCAATGCAATTGTATCCCTGCAAAAAATCCAACAACGGCCTTGAAGTTGACTGTCTTTTTCACTTTGGTACTTGGTCTTGAATTTATGCAATTTGACCATCAATTGTACAATAAACTTCTAATTTCTTAAATTTGACCCCTGATTTGGTTTAATTGCAGCCCCTCTAGTTATGCGTCTTTTTTAATTTGATCCTTGGTTTCGTATTTCTTCAATTAAGTCCCTAATTGGCTATCAAACTTTAATATTTATGCAATT